CCACAGTTTAAGAAAGATCCACTTGACATCTGATCCTGTACAGATGCTATAGTTATCCTAATAAAATTCACAAGAAAGGGAAGTAGCTGACATTGAGGTAGACTGCTTCCATCCAAGAAATCAGATCAACACTTCATATTTTCATTAAACATGAAAACTTTCCACTTTTCTTTCTTCCCTTTACTCTCTCATTGGCCTAGAAAGATAACACACTCATTGGTATCTCCCATGTCATTGGTAAGGGGAGTAATTTTCAGATGCTGGATTGGTCATCAAAGATGCCAATCAATCCATGGTGGAGAGAGCCCCAGTGTTCCCTGTGATCAATTTCTCTTCTGTTCCCAATATCACTGCAAACACGATCGACCCTCATTGGAAGTCACTTACTGAGTTCAACTTTTATGACTCCTGCCACACAGTAATGCTGATATTGGTCTGTTCTGTTAATTTCTTTGAGTTCTCTTCCAAAAATGTCTCCTGGAAGAATTGATCTAGAGAGTATCCCTAGGGCATATCCTACAGCATAAATGTATCTTATGAAGTCAAAATTAATAAGAAGATTTAAAAGAGTTTCATGTAAGATGGATACAAAACTCTGGGTTGTGGATTTATATAAAAACATGTCTTTAAGGAACTAAATTGATGTGCTCAGTCATCATTTGCAAGGTTCAAAGTCATGACCTTTTCCCAAGACCAATAGTTGATATCTACGTATTGGGGTGGCTTGGAAAGACAAATACTGTGACAAGAATGGGTAAGTTCAGCCATAAGCAAAATGAATGCACAGTCTCTTAATGACTGGCCTGTTCTGGTCTCCTGGGAGAGCTGTCGACACCAGCTGTTGGCTGCTCTCAACCTGGTCATGTCAGTGTAGTTTCAGTCATAAATCCAAAACATTCTGAGGACCACTGTGGAGTAGGCACCCTTTTTAAGCGAGAAATATGGATCCAAGAGTCAATTCCCTGTAATCTATCTGTCAGTGAGGATCACACTAAACTACACTAAGAGTCATCATGGATGGTGTAGGGTCTAGGACACTCATTATTCTGTACTAACTCACTCATGCTTCAGAATTATTCCACTTTCCTGCATGCCATTGACACTGAATTAGGTTAATACACAGAAGATTGCCTTTTTCTGATATAATAATTCACCCAGATGCTTGATATGCCTTTCTTTTTCACACTCTGCCTCCAAGACTGAAATAGAAATTACTCACCCATCTCCTTCCTGCTACCGGGCAGTGGGCTCACTGTGATGTTCACTATGTCCAAAATGTGTGAGGGAGGGAGGCAGCTAGATCCTGATATATAGGTTGGTGATGCTGTGACCTCTCCTACCCTCAGAACTACAATTATTTCATTTGCAGCAGCATTGGCACTGCAAGCTAGGATGCTATGGACAATTCTGAAACTTTTCTCCAGTTTGTTAATTACCAAAAACAATTGCAAGATTTTAGTTACCCTCTTCAGTACAGTATTGCAGTGTTTTAGAGAGGCTCTTTCTTTTCCAAGATCCCTGAAGGCAGACAAGGTCTCAAATGGAGGGAGAAAGAAATGCTGAGGTCTGACACATGAGGGACTGGCTGCAAGTCTGTATGTCTTGTTGGATTCGTCGCTTCACTGAGAAGTTCTTCTACCTCACATCTAGTTCTTGCCTAACCTTCATTCCACTGAGCTGAACCATCATTGATATTAGCGGAGAAATGAAATGAGACAAAGCACCTGGGAAAGATTTTCAAAGAGATACAAATAAAATTAATAACTTGATTTAAATAACTCACCCTAGAAATCACTTGCACAAATCAAGTTAATTAATTTGGACTCATTTGCATAATCCATTGTCAATTAATATAGAAATTTTGTAGGAAAATAGACTTTACCCTTATGGCCCTCTATTAATGAGAAGAATTGGAGACAGAAAAACATACATAGAAGACAGAGAGAAGGAACTAAAGGAGGCCCTCACAAATAAGAGAACCCAGATCACATGGTTCAACAAGCAGATTCCACCATTCTGGTAACTCTCAGATAAGCTAGTTCTCAGGTAGGATCAACTCAACAGGAGCAAATGGTTACCACAGTTCTCTCTCTATTTTTTTTTTGAATGAATTTTCTCTAAAGAGCATTTGTTGTTTTGGTCATTAGGAAACATAAATTAGGAGTTGAAAAGCATCCTTTGGTTTTCCGTATATTCAACTCCACATTTGATGCAGGAGGACCTACAACTAGAACATACAACTATATACTGAGGGGCTTTGGGGAGAAGAAGAAAAAAGAAGAGGAGAAAACAATAAAAGTCTTGAAAAGGATGTGGTCAAACCAAGAATCTCTCACACTGTTGGTGGGTGTAGAAATTGTTACAAATGTCTCCCAAACCTCTTTGGCACTACCAGCTAAAGCTAAAGAGGTGGAAACACGTCCCCCGAGAATTCCACTATTCCATATATAGCCAAGAGAAATTGGCATGTGTCATCAAAACATGTCTTAAATAGTCTCAAACTGAAAACAACCCATAAGCCTATCAACAGTGGAATGATTAAACTAATTGTTTTCTATTCAAACACTAGAGTCCTATACAGCAATGTGAATGAATGATTACCAGCAACATGCAGTAATAAATTCACAAACAACATAAGGGATGACAAAAAACAGAAATAAAAGAGTAAAGGCTGTATTTTTTTTCCATATAGATTGCAAAAGAGGGTAATGCGACCTGTGCTGTTAGAGGTCAGAGCAGTGGCTCCCCTGAAGAGCAGTGACTGGGAGGGATCATGATGGACTTCTAGGGGTCTGTCAGACGAAAGTCCCTTTGTTGAACTAGGTACTGAGAACAGAAATGTGAACTGCCCTTGAGCTAAGCACTTATGAACTGTGTTTGTGTCTTTAAATTTTTAAAACATATATCACCAATCAGAAAGGTGGGATATGGTGAGTAGATTAGCATCATAATGTCCTTATATTAAAAGGTGGGGTTTAAGAGTGTTAAATAGAAGGACACTGTGATTGGCTTTTATTTATGTTGACATTTCTAGGCAAAATTAACACAATGAGCATACAACTTTAAAAGAAAAGGGATCAATTATAATGAAGAATTATAATGTAGACATACTTGTAAATGAATAAAATAGAAGTTAGATAAAATAAGAAAATAAACGCTATTGACAGTGAAATGTATCAATTATTATATCAAAATTAACAGAACAATTACATGTTTTAAACTCAAACACTTTTTACTATGTTCATTGGATTTTTTAATAGATATGGCCAGATAATAAAATTAAAGTAGGAAAGTGAAAAATTCATTCTACAGAATTTTACCAATTAAACAACTAGGATAGCAATATAACATCAGATAACATACAGGTTAAGATTTGTCTTTATTGTAATTAGTACTATATTAATTTTCTCTGTACAAATTAATTTTCTGTACAAATTTCCGATATATTGAATGATTGATAACAAAGATAGTTGACTTTATATTTATATGAATATATACAGATATGCTCAAAATTCACACACGTATACATATACACACACAGATCACTCACAGACATATACATATACATATACACATATAATCACAATTATAGTTATGTGTGTGTCCACATGTTTTTTCTAATATTTGTTTAATGATATAATTTGTGTGAAATATTTAAGTATCTTGTGTGAGCTAAAAGATTGATTTCTTTTTGTCATGCAAGAACCAATATATATCCTTTGCCTCAAAATACCTTTGTAATTCAAGCTACTGAATTTTCAGTACTTTGCTTCAACTTCAGAATGGAAATACAGAGAAACCTATTTAAAAATCTCTCCTGAAATTAGGGAAATACTCACTTCACTCCTTGAAAATCAAGAAGTCACAAACTCCACATAAACAGAAATGGATTCATGTCTTTCCCTTTAAAATACCTTTCCCTACCACCCTCCAAATTTAATGCCCATCTATTTAATCGTTTTAGAGACAGGACAATGCAACTCCAAACCTCTTCATTGCCAACATGCCCAAATCATCTTCACCAAAGAGAAAACGCTGCTTTCTACAGATCCCAATTCCATGCAATTCGTGTCTTTAAAATTGTCCCACTCACATCATGTGATTTGATAATCAGCTAAAATCTAATTTTATGCTATCATTTGCTCCTCTATAGATTAATCTAGCCATTGGTATCTGAAACTGTTAAATGTTTAAACATGTTTTTCTCCAACCATAAGATCATATTTCAAATAAATGATTCCTGTTTCTTGAAGGATGTAATGTACAAAATTCATATTTCGCTCCAAAAAACTTTACTCATTGGCTAAATTTCCCCTCAAGCACCCTTGTCTTCAGTTCCAGTTATGGCCAACAACATGGTGTTCTATTTTTATGGATCTTTTCTAAAAATTTTATGCCTAGTTCATATCTGGGAAATTTGCTGTAATAGATTGAAGTTACAGCCTTCTCCAAAATGTCAAGATTATTTCAGGACATGGTGTTCATTGTTGCATGAATTGTGAAGTTCTCCACTGCAAGTATTAGTAGCACATCAATCGCATGAGTTTTATCCATGATAATTATATGATATTACATTACAATTACTATTCCAACCTATTATTTATTTTGAAGAAGATGTTCAGCATGTCTTGTTAAAATTCTCTGGTCAGCGAGACAACTGTACCTAGGACTCTGAGGAGGATGAGTGAGTTATCTAATGAACATTGTAGAAATACAGATGATTTTCATATTTCTCATTAGATTAGGGGACTTTGTATTTTAAAAATTATTATTATTTTTTGGGGTGTGGAGAAGATAGGTCCAAAGCCAACATCTATTGCTAATCTTCCTCTTTTTGCTTGAGGAAGATTGGCCCTGAGCAAACATCTGTGGCTATTCCCCTATTTCATCTGTGGGATGCCGCCACAGCTTGGCTTGACAAGTGACACTTGGTCCACAACCAGGATCTGAATTTGCAAATCCCAGGCCACTGACGCAAAGCATGCTAAATTAACACTAGACTACTGGGCCGGCCTGAAGGATTTTGTATGTTTTGTCCAGGCAAAGCACAGCCTGGATACCCTGGATTCACGGCTCATGAGCAGAAAGGGACTGAGACTTGGGAAACAAAGAGTGCTTACTGAAGTGGCCTTCAGGAAGAACCAGTTGGGATTATTCAAAAGAGCCAAAAGTGCTTGAAAAACGGAGGAAAGGGTATTAAAAAGGACAAAGGTGCTCACCAGGAGAAGGACAGTTTTGGTAGCTCTGGACTCAGGGGAGGTTTTGAGGGAGACATTGGTCTTATGAAGTCTTTGAACTCTCTGCTTGTGCCTGTATAGGATGAAAACGATGGAGCCACTGGCCAAGAACATAAGCCCCAAACAGAAAACATCAGGGAATGACAGCAATGCTGCATATAAGTTGTCTCTGGCTTTGTCATGATGAACAGCAGAACAGTATCCAAAACTTTTTCTATTTGTGATGTTTTTGTGGCTCCTGTTGGCAGCCATAAACATAGGATAAACGATATTTATCAGCATGTGCAGCATCCAGCACAGGGAAATTGAAGGGACAATGCACCTGAGAGCTTTCACTTTAATCTCTGCCAACCTGGAGTTCCTGGGGCTGATGATGATGGCCTGGATGACACTCAAGAGGCAGGTGGTGCCAATGGACACACCCCTGCCCACTGCGCGAACATAGGGCAAAAATCTGCATTCCAAATCAGGATGAACAGGATCCACTCCAAAAGATGACAACGTATAGCGGATTCCACTAGCGAACAGGAGCAATAAATTGGCTACAGTCTGGTTCTTGATAATCAAATCTGTGGACCTTATCCTACACCCAGTCAAATAAAGGAAGAGATAATGACAAATAAGAAAGAAATTCCCCAGGATTCCAAATGTAGTCTGTAATAAGAAGATCATTCCTACCGCCAAATCCCTGGCAGCCATCCTATCAGTTCTCAACGCCTTATATGTGTCTTCTGAGCTAGAGGATCCTGCAGGGGAATAGGAGGTGTGGGCCACATGAATCATGTCAACAGAAATACAATATTCTCCACTTAGCAACAATTCCTACTTTGAAATAATTAAAGTTTTTTCTGTCCTTTAGAGGCTTCCAAGAATTGAAAGTAGAATCATTAATGAACACTTACTATGTATAAATTACTGCCATGAAGGTCACAGATGCAGTAATTTCTTTATTCCTCCCAAATTCATGAGGCAGTCACTGTTACTTTCCTTATAAAGACGAGGACAACAGAGAGCTTCAGTGTTTCATCTAAATTAACACACTGGTTGAGTACACAGTGGGGATTTTAACCTGGTAATCAAGTGGTGCATTTAATCCATAATACACTAAATTAATAGTTTTGTTCTTCAAATAAGCCAGATCTAAATTCAGTTTTGTTTTTCCACCTTGTCATTTCAACTTAGATTGGTGATATTTGATCTGAAATTTGGTAATGATGAGTTTTCATTTATTGATGAAGACTTATTTTAGGGGCAGATATAGACTTTGACTAAAGCTTTAGAGATCTTAATAAAAGGTAGATGCCCTAGCTGCAGGATAAAACTTCAGGATCCTGTCCCAGCACAAGTTTAGTTTAATGAATGCAAGAATGCCTCAACATTAGGATGGCAAAGAAAGATTCATTTGCATTTATCTCAGGAACAAAAGTACAATACTCCGAGTCACAGGAAGTATGAGATAGAAACACTGATGCCTGATAAACAGTGTATGGTAGAAACAAATTATTACTAATTTCAAATCATATACATGTCATTTATTCATACCTACATTCGATGAAGTTATTAGCAGGAATGCAAAATTTGTGAAAAATATTAAAGTACACTGTACACAGGCAACATGCAATGATGTGATGCTAAGGAAAAAAGCATGTATTGTATAAATTACCTACATTTTTGGGTGTTAAAATATATAGTGTTTAATATTTAGAAGCATCAGAAATATCAAAAGAAGGATTTGAGCCTAAAAATGTTTTCTGAACTTGTTATATTTTTTTAAATGCAGCTTACTCACTTTAAGTGGGAAAAGTCTGTCTATAACCAATAGAGACACTATCATGAAATCTGTTAAGCTCTTCATACTCCCAGTTAGAGAAAACATTTCTTCTCCAGCAACTGCTAAAAGATACACTGTTTCTGCAAGGATCAAATGATCCTTGTAGGTTCATCATACTCTTTATTACAACAATTGAGGTACCCTCGGTGTACCTCTAGAAACCTGAAAATTATGTCGATGACTCCTGTAAGTAAGCTGAACAGCAGCTTGACACCTGAACTACAGTCCTTAAGCACATGGGAATCAAATTTTATATTACTCGGATTAAACCACAATAACCACTGTCCCTACCTTTGAGCCATGCTGGATTGCTGGAAGATCTAGGAACACATCTCTCTTGATATCTCTCTCAGTTTATCCTCAAGATTTATTCCGTCTTCATACCTGGCTTTGGCACTTGACCAGGTACATGAAAGAACATTTGCCTTGTCCATTACATTCACTTACCCAGATTCCTGATACAACTCCTTCTCTTACAGGTTCTAACTCTCAGATGAATAAATCTAAAACTCATCCATTTTTTCCTGCTGCTGGCATGGTAGGGTTAGCATGAAGGTCAAAGCAGTCAGTACATGTGTGACAGAATTAGCTAGACCCTGATATATGAGTTTCTGATTCTGTGACCTCGGCTCCCCTCAGAACCGCAATTATCATTTCACTTGTAGCATCATTGGCAGTAACAGGCTTGGGAGCTGAGAATATTTTTTCAAAACTTTCTTCCCAGGTGCTAATTACCAAGAACAACTACAAGTTTCTAGCTAAGATCCCTTAAGAGACTATTGGTGTATGTGTGGGAGGCATGGACATACTTTTCCGTGAACCCTGGAGGCAGACAGTGTCTCACATGGAGCAGGGCAGGAAATACTTAGGTCTCACATTTGATCGACTGGCAGTGGGTATGTGTATCTCAGTGGATGTTCTATTTCCCCCAGATGTTCTAGCTAAAGTGAGCTATTTTCTAACTTCACACAGCTAAGTTGCACCATCAGTTATGTTCAAAGAAATGTGTTTTAAAAAGGATGCAAGAAGAGGGACATGATACCAATAATTTACATTAGATGTCATTGCACTCATTTGCACACCTCAATGTCAATGAATGTGTAAACAGTAAGGAAACTCTACCAATACTGACCCTCACTTGTGATAGGAAGCAGAATCATACAAATATCCATGAAATAATGAGAGAAGTTTTTAAAACAGTCCCTCAGATAGAAAGCACCAGAATCAGATGCTTTAACAAGGAGATTCCACCATGCTTATAAGTATCAGATAAGCCAATGCTACTTCCTTAATTCAAGACCATCAAATTGTTAACACACTCTTCTAATCCATTTTTTCACAATATTTTCAGTAAGAAACTATGTTTTTAAATTTAAGAAATATATTTTTGATTGGTCAGAACAAAATACAGTTATAAATTGCAAGTTGAATTTAATTCTCTAGGTTTTCCTACAAACAAATCAACTCTTTGATGCAAGTTCACAATGCTATCTATTATCCCCCCTTGTCAAGTCACTTGGCAGAGCCATAATGCTGGACAATCCATCTTACACACACTCATTTACACACAGAAGCAAAAACACTCATGCATGCACATTTCTTCACACTTTCAAACTTATAGTCACACATTCACATTCTTATATACATACACACTTACATGCTCTCACAATGTTAATTGCACACACAAAAAATAATGTACATATTGATCACATAAAATTTACACTTATATATGTAAACAATTATAAATACATACACTTCCATAAACTCACAATTACACTTCTTCATAAAATAACAGTCACCAAGCATGGGTATATCTAAATTACATGATATTACACAGAAGAATAGTTGCATTTCCAGACTTCTGGATGCCTGAAAAGGGGGGCCATGCTGCCCTCTATAGTTTTCATACCCCTGCAACAATCACAAGGGCCATATGTACTACAATGCACAGAACTTAAAATGTGCTGTGAGCATTGTCATCTTACATCAGGACACATACTGAGAAACTTGGGTTTTTTGCTGGAGTGACAGTATGTGAGTACGTGATAGAGTGGAGTAAGAATAGGCCACAGGACCAAGGAGACATAAGGATAATATGGGGGTGCCAAGAGCCAGGGGGCTTGGAGTTATGGAGATTACAGGGCAAGGGAGTGAACAGAAAGAGAAAAGGCAATGGTTTTTAATAATGTTGAAGCACTAAAGTGCAATGCTGGTGATGACATACAGAGAGGGCAAAGTGTACAAGGAAGGGAAGGCGGGGCATTTTGGGATCTGAAGAGATCAAGGAGGGATAGGATCAAGGGAATAAAAATGCTAATGGGGAGGGGAAGTTAATGTCAAAAGTGAGGAAATGCCAGAAGGGGCTTCATTTAAACACCATTGTTTGGAGGGAAGGCGAATTCAGTTTGGGCAGGTAGATCTTGGTAGATGATAACAGTTGAATTTCGGCAGAATGTGGGGAAAAGGAGATGGCACTAGGGGAAATGGTAGGCATAGGCATGAAGGCCAAATGGACAGAGGACAATGAGACAGTAAAGGTCAGTGAGCCAAAAAGACAAGGGGAATGTGTCAGCAACTATAGAGTTCGATGTAATGAGTGCATGGTATAAACTGAGTTTCTGGGGCCACTGATGTTGCCTATGACTTCAGAGCTGGATGAATGAGAGTACCAGGGCATAGAAGTCCCAGCGAATGGGATGAGATATTGGAATTGAGAGCAGATAGAAGGCAAGAGAAAGGAAGGCATGCAAGACAGATTTTGCAGAGCTGACAAAGGCTGAGGTGGGTTAGACTGAGCTCCCTAGAATACTGATCACAGAGATATGGAGGTGAAAAGGTCACAAGCTGAAGGTAGAGAGTGCAATACTGATGTCAAAAGTGTTCAATGGAGGTTGGAGTGTACGTGGAGTCATATTAGATGTCTAAAGGTTACAGATGGACAGATGTAGATGCACAAAAGGGCATAGAGGTAGAGTGCGAGGCTGGATGCGTCTAGGCATGAAGGAGGTGTCAGAGGGGAGACTGGAGGCCATGAATTGATTCCCTCATTTATCTATTCCCTCACTTAGGATCAAACATGAGGAGTCATGTACATTTCATTATTGAAATATATTTGACATATATTTCATCCAAGGTGTACATCATATTTATTTGACACATTTCTATATTGTAATATAATTGTCATTCCAGTGATAGCACCTCTATCACATCACCTAATTATCATTTCTTTACGTGTTTGGAATAATTGAGATCTTGACTCTTAAGAAGTTTGATGACTACAATAAAACATTATACTCTGTATTCACTCTACGGTGCGATAGATATCCAAGACCTATTTGTCTACTAGCTGTAAGTTTGTAGCCATAAACCACATCTCTCCTGTTTCCCCAACTCCCTGTCCCTGGTAACCACCATTTGACTCTGTGATTTGATGAGTTTGGCTCTGTTGGATTCCACATGTAAATGAGATCACACAGTATTACTCTTTCGTTTTCTGACTTATCTCATGTAGCCTAGGGCCTTTGATGTCAATCCCAGTTGTTTTCAACTGCAGCATTTCTTTCTTTCCCATGACTGAATAATATTTCATATTATTCCACATCTTCTTTGTGCATTCACTCATTCACAGACGTTTAAGTTGTTCCATATCTTGGCTACTGTAAATACTATGGTAAATAGTGCAGCAATGAATATGCGGTTGCTGGTATCTCTTCAGGAACTGTTTTCATTTCCTATGGCTTCTAATTCCTGTTCAGGGGCAAAAGTCTGGCTCAAATAAAATGTTCCTGAATACTCCTCAAACTGAATCTACAGTAGAGAAGAGCACCAAATTTTGGGATGATCAATACTCAACACTATGTTATCTGTG